GCCGTTGATACAATGCTCATCATCACACCACAACAAGCTAGGCCTGCAAGAACCCCGCCATGATCGAGGCCGACCCAAGCACTGAAAACTAGGATAGCGACTTTTCCGTAGTTTGAGGCCAATGACCAATCTGTTAGGCCACATCCATATGCATTGCAGAAGGCTAGAACTGGAGCAATTACATAGGCCACCAGTATGTGATACCTGTTAGATTTATTGTGCCATTAATAAACATAGTTTAATCCAAAACAAATTTGTAAATATTGAAAATAAAAATATGCTAGTCCACGTAAAATATTCCAACTATACCATTTGAGCTGGTGGAAGATCTGTGGTACAACACCAATAGACAGAGCTGCCAAGAGTACGTAGCCGCCCATGGCTACATAATTAGGGATTTGGTCTTTCAAGAAATAGGTAGTTCTTGTTTTTTCGTCATAGTCTCCTCCGGTGCTTTCACGCTCACTATTAGATTTCTCCGACTTGCGATTAATGAAACTTTTCGAAGTGACAATGATCATGTAAACAACGTGGAACAGTCCATCACCAAGCATCATGGCAATGGCAAGAAAAACCTGTTGAGATCAACACAAATCGAATAATTTGAGTCACAATGATAATTTGAATAATACTATACAGTTCACATTACAAGTCATTATATATAGAATATATGACTTACCCTGTATCCTTGGATGCCATGAAGACTGCTTGCAGATAAATCAGCACTATACCAACTGCCTTTCTTGGACTCAATCAGAGGCCACATGATTCCCCATGAAACAATGGCTCCAACAAGTAATGAGACATTCACCAAGTAAGGGCAAATCATACCAACACCAACGTATGTCGATGAGAAATCAAAATAGAACCTGTGGCGGGAAGGATATATCAATTTTCTTTTCAAACATCACATTTGGTTAAATTAATTATCTGACAATCTTGTAACTTGACAGAAAATCTATAAACTCAACCATAATCCATATATACTTAAAAGAAAGAATGCCATGTCGTTTTCGTTTAGAAAACTTGTGGAAAAAATTGTCACATTGAGTAACAAGCAAATTTTAGCAATAAAATTATCTTTCCTCCATTATCAAAGTTATATTTAACTTTCTTGAATTGTTAGTTCATGGTAGGTAATTAAGTATAGTATACTCCACTTCGAGTATTGTTAATTATCTTTAATTCTATTTAGCTCAGCAAAGAAGTCTAAATTTGCAGAAAGAATAGGATAGGCTGCTAATCTTCAATAGCTCTACGTACAATGTTAGCTCAATAATTTAGCACACAATACTGGACAAAACAATGGATCAGATTTTAAATTCATTTTCATCTTTAATCTTTTACGCTGTTGTCTAGTCTAATACAGTAAATATGTACCAAGTTTTCTTTACCATNATTTTAAATTCATTTTCATCTTTAATCTTTTACGCTGTTGTCTAGTCTAATACAGTAAATATGTACCAAGTTTTCTTTACCATCTAAGCAATGTCTATTGGTCAAGAAAACAAGTAGGTTTCAACACATAAATATGATAAATCATTTATTATAAGCATCTAGATAGGAAAATTAAAAACTAAATAAATAAATACCTTTGTTTAAAGGCCTGAAGACCGAAAGTCGGGAAGCTACTGAAACCACATCCATCGGCAGCTGCGAAAAACCACTGGAAACACGCAAACAGAAAGCTAAAGCAGAAGGACTTGAAAAGTGTCATAACTTGTTTCCTGCATTCGAAGAACAGATTATTCAGTATAATAACATAAGTTATGACAGAAAAAAATAAATTCAGAGTTAAATTATCTATATACTTGGCCAGCTTTTCTCCTTTTCGAGTGTGGAAGCTATTGATAAGATATGCAGTTGCGGTTCCACTGGGATACGTCAATTTGTACTTCAAGATCATCATCTGATCAGAAAATTTCAAAGAAAATTATAATTTTTCTAATTAATTGATGACTATAGTAATCTTCAATAAGTACATAAACGCTTCATATAGTATTATGTATATACCTTTCTTAAAGGAACTATTGAGAATAGACCAACAAAGCTGACAATAAAAAGGAATCCAATTATCCAGCCAAGAGATAGTTTCTTCACATTCACTGGGGTATTGCCTGCATCTGCTTGAGCTGCTATCGTTGCACTCATTCCTAACAGATAACTCGCTGTCCCACCTGAAATTTTTTTAACACACTTATAATTTAACATTGAACAAGTTGCAATGATTAAATTTCATAATCTTTCTAGTTAAAATTCCAAAGTAGCATATATACTTTACAGTATCCATTGTCCAATGAAAAACAGTTAATTAACATAGAAAGATACCCTAAAAAAATCCAATTTTTCTTTTCCATTAAATAATGACAATTTTTCCAAGTTAATTCCAAAGAGGTTGTTTGATTCCCATTTTTCTCAAAATCCATCTTTCGTTCTCTTCTTTTCAACCACGCATTTTTGAATACAAGATATACAAAAACAACAAGCAAATAAATAAATAATAAAAAAAAAAAAAAAAAAAAGCTTTCCAAATTGATCGTGATAACATTTTGAAACCAAATCATTAAGAGAAATCAAATAACTACTTACTGCTAAAAGCGATCCCAGAAGAGGCAACCACACAGGTTTGAATCACAGTGTTTTCTTGTCTGGTAAAAGGCTGCTTCAACATACCGCACCTTTCAAGCAGAACCGTCCATGCCTTAACAATGGCGAATCCAAGGAGGCCAGCCGCCACGTTAAGCGAAGGAATCACTCCAGTGGTGAGATTGAGTTTGCATACGATAATATTGAAAACAAAACTCAAAATAATACTCGTAAAAGCAGCTCTCATTGTTATCTGCTTATGCCATGGCGGAACCTCTACATCATTGAACGCATTTTCTACCTCCAATCCATTATTTTTATCGCCTTCATCAATTTCAGGGAGTCCTTGTTCTACTTCTCCCGCTCTCTCCCGCATATTGCTTATTCTTAACTGATTCTCTTTCTACGTAAATTATAAACCCTAAGCCTAGTTTTGTATTGCGACTTAACAGACTAATTACTCTCTTGATTTTGATGTTGAAACACAAAAGAGTATGATGAGATTTAGATTTACAAAGGCTGAACTACGTCTATATATATATAGAGTGATGGGAGAATCCCAGTGAGTCTGGAATTCCACCCGGTGTAGGAGAAACTGACGGGAATTCCGAAGGTTCAATGAATTGGATTTCTTTAGAATCCATGTTTGCTTAGTTTCACGGTTAAAATTCACTTATATAACTATAAGTAGTACTACGATTACATAATAGTTTAAACTTTATTATATATTAAAGCTTAGACAAACACGACTAAATTATGAGCCTATTTGGGAGTGATTTTAAGAATTGATTTTTTGACCGTTAGAAGAAAAGTGCGGTCTATCTGTGAGAGAAGAAGTGAAATATGATGGCTGAAATAGTGAAATAACAGTCCAAAAATCAATTTTTTGGGTGAAAAAATTGGGCCCAAACAAGTATATTTCTTAAATAAGTTACTAATTTGAAATGTTTTTCTTATTCTATGTTAAAATAAGTAATTTATATTTAGCTTTTTCATAATTTACTTATTTATGTTTTGAAATTTACTTATTTACTTATATGTGCATTTTGAAAAACTTAGCCTCCGTCTCGGAAGAATTTATAAATAGATAAAAATGATTAGTGAACATGAATTTTATTTGGGATTTCATTGAAATATGTGATGACAAGTAACATATTGATCAATTTGTCGAACTGAAGTTTACACATATGCACGGAATATAAAATATAATTTGGTAACTATCTATCAAAATTGCATGAATTTCATGAAAAAGTATTTTTGGCGGTATCAATAATGGATAATAGTTCTGATTAAATTTGGAAGTCAAAATCTAAATTTGTAAAGGGATTGTCGAAATCCGAAACATTGCAGAAAATGGAATGTTTGTTGATCAAAATTGTCTATTATTGCACTTCTTGATTATAGCTTGAAGTTGAGTCCTAAATGTAACTGAAGATTGACCAACTTGAATCAAATATGGAAACTTTTGATTTTACACGCTAATACTTTTAAGATTATTTTCTAAAAAATTGAGAAAATTAAAATAAAGAGGTAACTTTTAAGGAGAAATTAAAATGTGTCAATCACTTTTCGATTTCTAGTTAACGTTTAGTTTTTTCAAAGATACTCTCTCCATTCCATTTATGTATGTAAGTTTGTTTTTCACATGAACTAAGAAATCTTATTCAATGTTATTGAAAAAGCAATTTTGTTAAGGGTGGACATGGTTTCATTTGGTGTTGACTCTAAGATAACTTAACCGAACCATAAACTAATAATTTTCTTGATAATAGAATCAAATGGTTTTTTTAAAGGTATGGAACCAAACCAAACCGATCCATTCGGTTCTGGATTGGTTTGGTCCGATTCTAGTTCTATTATTTAAACTTTCAGACTTACGCCATATCCATAAACTAGTAATATATACTTAAATAAAAAATATAAGTATCAAACATTTAGCAAATTCAAATTATCAGTCATCAAGATTTCAAAAATTCAAACTAACAAACAAAATATAAATGAATGCTTCTTTGCCAAAAGTTAATAATATCAAGTTTCATCGTCATCCTCCATCCAATCAATTCCTTTACATAAAACCATCAAATCCTATATGAGAAAAATGAAATATGAAACTGAAATATAAAATTAAAACTTGAAACTAATAATAGGGATGGTGACAAAATGACCAACCCAATAAACTTAGCCCTTACCATCCAGACAACCATTATCCGTTTAATACTCAATTACTTGTGCTGTAACTTTAAGAAACTCTACAAACATAATTCAAAATAAACAAAAATAAATTAAAATCGTTTACAATTAATTCTTAAGTGAAAATATTTTATAAAACTTTTATTACCAGACTCAATTTCTTCGTAGAACTCTGTCTTCTTAATGCAAATTCTATCTTGACTTACTCTCAAATGTATAGATTTTTCTCATAACCAATCTTGGGTACAAATTAAAGCCTCAACTATTATAGGAGTTAAATTACTCCTAAAACAATTAAGAATGCGTCCTCTTGTACTAATTGTCAACTTAGAAGCAACTGTAGATACATAAATGTCGAGCACATCTCTTGCAATATTTGATAAAATTTTAAATCTTGGAGTATTTATCTTCCACCAATTCAAAATATCAAATTTGCATCAGCTGCATCTTCATCTGGTTCCATCAAATATCTTTGAATATCATCTTTTCCAAACAAACAGCCTTTGCTAGTTTTTAATTTCTTGTACCCGAAATCAAAATTATTAAAGTCATTCGAATCATCATCAGAACCATCCAACAAAGTCACTCCATCATTAGTATCACCACTACCACTGTCTTCATCAGTATTGCTTTCACATCCCTTGTACTAATTGTACAAAGTATACAATAATTTATCGACTTCATTTTTTGTGACTTCAACCATGTCAAAGTCATACATAATAGCAATAGAATGTACAACAAACTCCATTTCATATCTTGGATCAAGCACAATTGCTTCGTTTGAGGGATCTGTAGGGCATCGTTTGGAATTCTTAAGGTTTTGAATTTGAAGTAACATGCTTAATGGGTTGTACAAAAATAATAGCTATTAGAATGATTTCAATTAATACAAGATTAGATTCATATAAAAATAAAATTATAAATTAAGTTTGATTCTTGGTTTGGTTCTCGGTTCTAGTACTAGAACCAAACCAGAACCATAACCAAAATCATCCTTTTTTTTGTGGAACTGAATCGAACCGCTCAATTTGGTTTGGTTCTGGTTTGGTCTGGACATTTTGTCCACCCCTAATTTTTGTCAAGAACTTTTATAATCTATCCTTATTTATATTTGTACAATTTTAAAATTAAGTGGAGAAAATTGGTTATAACTAAGGAAATTAAATAAGGGCGTATTAATAAATGAACGAAACAAAACATTCTCAATAAAATAAAATAAAAAAAACATGATTATATAATTAGTTAAAAAAAAAGAAAGAAAGGAAAGTCGGCCTTTATAAATGAAATAGAGAGTATTATTTTCCCTTCAAGAATCTGCTGGTGCCACTAGACCAAAATAGTATTGTCATTGACTATGCTTTTAAACCTAGGTATCCCAATTCAAATTCTAATATATGTTTCATCAAAATTTAGGCATCGAATAACTTGAGCATTTTTAAAGATCATTAATTGGAAGAATTTTTATTGACTTTGGGGCGCATAAATATATGGGGCTCTTTAGAAATTTCAATGTGTCCTCGTATTTCAATGTTAGAGCTTCTAAATATGAAGTCAAATTTTTCGTACATTTGACCCAAAAAAAAAAAATTAAGTAAAAAACAAAAAATATAAAAATAATCTATAATAAATATCACATCAAGTCTATAAAATATTAAGACCTTGTTTAATTTGGATTAAAATATGATTTAATCTTAGTCAAAATCAAATAATCAATATTAACCACATCTTTATGGATCCCACAACTTTTCAACGACATATTTCAAAAATTTCTATCATAATCTATTAAAAAATTTAATTTCAATTTCCACCAAACACATCTAAATACCACATCAAGTGAGAATAATTTTTTGGACGATTTTAATCCTTCTATAATTTTATTATTTCAATAATATCTTAATTTTCATTTTTTAATATGTAATAAATATTGTACAATCCTTGTCATGTACGAATTCCATGTTATTAATTCTTAATCAATTTATATTCACATTAACCTAGACTCAATGAATCTTGATTTTATGAATCTCAATTTTCATGAATTTAGAATTATTATAGATTAATTTATTTCTATTTATGTATCTATGAATTTTAATGCATGTTTAAATTCATGTATTAGTAATTAATTCTTATGTATCAAATGTAGCATGAAAATGATGCTCATTTGTAGTATTTCATCATCGCAAAAAAATTGAATCATGGAAGTTAAGTTTTGAGAGTACAATTTTATTCTTTTAAATTTCTATCGGAAATTTTATCTTCTTTACTTCATTTGAAACTCATCAAATCCTCCTAACAAATTGGTATCAAATATTATATTTACGGTACTTATAAAGTTGGAGGGAAAATAAAATGAGAAATTTCTCAGTTATTGGAATGTGAAATCGAAAGATGAATCAGTTCATTATGCTTTAAAAACCATATTCCCAGACTAATGACATGTCTTCAGTCGTAAAATATTTTACATATATTTTGTATATATTCAGAATGGAAAGCAGTGGAATATTTTGTTGGAATAATTAATAATTCTATATGTGGGCTTCACATTCGATTGCAAAATTTTACGGGTTAGATATATAGCTCATAATGATAATTGTGTTTGGGTCAAATTTATTAAGTGATCAATTGGGCCTTTTACACCTTACGGGTTGTAATTAATTTGAGGGAAGAGTTCACATTTCAGGCTTTAAGTTTGCCTCAATTCAAAAATCAAGTAAATACTTTTAAAATTCAAAAATCAGGTACATATTTAATTAATTAAAATTTTTTATTAAATATAGATAATAAAGTCACAGTTACACGATTAATAATCACATATTCATAATTATAGGTCACAGATTTATTTACTGATCACATATCGACAAATTAATTGATTAAATGATTATTTCGTAGTCACAAATCAAAAATTTTGTCAGTCACATATTATTTGGAAGTCACAGATCATTCGAATTACAAGTCACATGTCACAGTTTATCGGTCACAAATTATTTTGGTCACAGTTATCAAATTTTAAGTTTGAATTGGTCACAGGTGATCAAATAGTTGGTCACAGATCAAATATTAGGTCATATTTTATACCACCACTACCACTTTCCACCACACTCACGCCATCCCTGTCGTCGGCCACCATCTCGCCGTCGACACTAACAATCTACCACCACCATCAGTTTCACTACCAACAAGAATCATCCAATTCCCTCGACACAACCAAAACAAGACCACCACCACCACGACTCCAACCAAAAAAACACAACAATCAGTATCACCACTACCCCAACACCATACCACAACCACCACTGCAGATCCACCTCCACCGCCCCCAAAAACCACCATAATAGCCACCACCACGAGCGCCACCACCTTCACAGTCACAAAATCACCGCCACCACCAAACAGTCAAACCAACACCACCATATCTCGCACCAATCCATCC